ATGCGCAACGTCGACCACGTTGGGGGCGAGGCCCGGATCGTCGGAGAGAAAACCATAGAGTTTTCCCTCCGACGATCCGGCCACGTCCCCAACGTGGTCGACGTGGTTGCGTCACTGGAGCCACGCTGCACTTCGGGGGGCGTAGTTCCCCCCGGGGTCCGATTCCGCGGTGGCGGAAATCGGGCCTCCAAAGCGGGGTTTACCCGCCCCCCGCCCCCACTTGGCAGCCCTACATCACCCAGAGCCCAGACTTTTTCCATCAAGGGGACGGACTCCCTAAAGAGGTGGGGGAGGGCTTCCTTGGAGATCTCCAGGAGGTGCTTACATATGAGCACAGACCCCCCCACATGAATCCTTGGGCAGCCCCCCACCACCACTTCCTTCAGCCGTGAGAAGACTTCTGTCTATTGGCTTTGCATTCTTTAACCAGTTTTTGCCAATCCCTAAATTGACCTATCTTCCTCCTCTATGATCATTTGATATTCTGAGGAGGAGTCTTTGGCGAAGGGCTTTGTCAAACTTTGGGGAAGTCACGTAGACGAATAGGAACACAGGCAGAAGGCGAAGAAGAGGAGCAGAGGTGGATAAATTAACTTTATTTTTGAGAGGACAAAGTGAAGGAAGCTTCGAAAACACACGGTCGAGATTTTAGAAATAGTTGGAACAATACAATATACAATAAATAAACCATATAGACATGCAACCGAATCAGAAGAAAACGTGAACTGTAATTTCAATTATAAGCAAGAGATTTATATAAAAATATATGGTGGACAAAAATAAGATTATAACTTGATAATGTATGAGATAATTGAATAGATTAAACAGTGATAAGAACATAAGAACATAAGAGACGCGAATGTTGGATCAGGCCAAAGGCCCATCTAGTCCAATACTCTGTCACACAGTGGCCTTTATTTTGATGTAATCCAAATCCCCGTACTTTTGTATGTACCGTATTTGTTTTATGTTTGTTTGTTATAAAAAATAAAAAATATAAATTAAAAAAAAAGAGGAGGAGGCGATTGGATTTATACCCAGCTCCTCGATTCCCGAAGGAGTCTCAGAGCATTTTACAATCTCCTTTTACTTCCCCTCCCCACAACAGACACCCTGTGAGGCAGGTAGGGTTGAGAGAGTTCTTTCGAGGATTGCTCTTGAGAGAGCAGCTCTCTGAGAGAACTTGTAACTGGCCCAAGGTCACACCAGCAGCTGCAAGTTGAGGAGTGGGGACTAAAACCCGGTTCTCCCAGATAAGAGTCCGTGCTCCTCACCACTATACCAAACTGGCTCTCTAGGAAGGCTTAGGCATGATTTTGCTTTGATGATCTTGCCCTGGTAGGCTTACCATATGCCCGCTGTTGGTGTGGGAAGTCTCCTGCTGCCCGCTGCCGCTGTTCACCACTGCTCAGCTCAGGGGCAGGAGGGAATTCGCTGGTGAAATGGGGGCGTGATTGTCGCCCTCGGTGCAACGACATCACTTCCAGGTCGTGCCAGAGATTGCGTCATTGTGCAGGGACAGCAATCACCAACCCCAATAGGTTCCTGCCTCCCCATACCCCACACCCCACACCTGGTTGCCAGGCCATGCCTAGAAACCCAATGCCCTGGTAAGGATCGTCTTTGTACATTTACCAGTTTTAGCCTGAACCATGTTTTGCCATCGGCAGGCACCTCTCTGCATTCTCCTTTCAAGCGAGGTGCTAGCATGACCCGCCTGCCCAAGCCTCTGGAAAAGAGGTCAATTCTAGTGATAAATTAGTAACTAAAATGACGCGATGTAACACTCTGAAGCCGGAGGCCGAGGGCTCTTGGAGGGGTGCCGTTTGGCCTTTGCGACTTGTTAATGTTGGACTTGCCAATTCAGTCTGAATGTTGTTGGCTCTGTTTGATACCGTTCAGGTTTGGTCGCCTCTCTGGAATCACCTGCTGTGAGCAAAACAAGTACTTCAGCATCCGTGCAGTTCCTTAATTTCACTTTCATATTGCTTTTTACACTTTGGTCATCTAATGACCCCCATTGCCACTAGAGCGGCCATAATGGAAGACCTCCTGACCTGGACCCCCTGTTCCCTACCGCTGTTTGATTGGGTGGCAGGGGATTTCAGTATCATGCTGGTATCACTTCCAGCGTGAACAGGAAGTGAAGTAATCATTTAGCTGAGACACTCTAGGATTCACCCAAAAGGATGGTTTAACTGTTTTAGTGAATCCTAGAGTGTTGTGCCAACACGATGACGTCAGATCTTCTTCGTGGTCTCTGTGCGGCGACTGGCGAGATCCAGCGGGCTCTGTCATAACAGGAGCTAGGGATTGCTCTAAGAGAAAAACCTTGAGGCGAGCTGCCCTGTTTTTCCTAGCTTGACTGGTGAACCCCTTACAGTACACACAGGTGCCAGTCTTGTGCTTCTCCCCCAGGCAGCGCAAGCAACGGTCGTGCCCGTCGGTTGAGGGGATCTTCGCTGCACAAATCAGGCACTGTTTAAAAAATAGAGTTGGTCCCATAGGCAGCCCCCCTGAGCTACGGGACTATGTGTGAGAAAGAACTGATTGCTTTTCACTAGTATTACTTATGTCCGTTCAAGTTATTTCAATCCTGAGGCGGCTTCCCGGACGACGAAGAATAACGTCTGGTCAGGAGGCGGTTAATAATGAACTGGGTGGAGGTGGAGTCTGCTTCAGTCACCGAGCATGCGTAGTGAGGGAGGGCTGCGCGAGACTGAGGCGGACTCCGCAAGGGGTAGGTTGCATGTTAAGCTTTTTTAGGCTTCCCGGCCAGGGCTCAGCGTAGGCGTGAAACCCATGGTGTGTGGCTGCACAGATGACCACTCGAAGATCATCAGTTACAGGTAAGCAACCTGTTTTTCCTGTTTGCACTGGAAGTGATAAGAACATAACTTAAGAGAACATAAAAGAAGCCAATGTTGGATCAGGCCAATGGCCCATCCAGTCCAACACTCTGTCACCTCTGGCAAGGTGCTGGCACTCAATTACAGTCAAACAATGACCATGAGGAATTTCAGACAGGCGATATATTCCGGTTCAGGAATGGTTCCCAAACAGTTTCTGGTCTGACTTTTCAGACAGAACCGTTTTAGAACCAGTTCCCTACTGGAATATATTTGTACTTTCACACACAAACGCTTCTGTCCCATTCAGGAAACGCTGCTGAACTGTTTTACCTGTAAACCACTTCTAAGTAGTCTTCAGTTTCTTCTCCTGGATCCGAAACGCTTTTTCCCAACGTTTTTCGCCCATGTGGGCGATTTCCAGCTTTTTTTTTTAATGTTCACTTTAGAGCACTATAGCGCTATAACACAACAGCAAAACAGCATTATAGCAACCCCATTGGAATGCCTGGAGTGTTGTGTTATAGCGCTATAGCGCTCTAAAACGAACGTTAAAAAAATGCTGGAGACTGCCCACGCGGGCGAAAAATGGCAGGAAAAAGCGGGAAAAAGCAGTGCAGTCTGAAATGGCAAACCGCTTCAGACCCAGCTGTTTACCGGTAGGGGAAAGCCATGTGTGAAATGGCAGCCCTATACTGGTTTACTCCACGACGGAACAAAAACGGCTTCAAACTGGCTTAAAAAGGGTAATGTGAAATTCCTGCCTTTCTCACCCTATCTAAAGCAGCCAGGGCTCTGCAACAACTCAAAATTCACCCATACACTCCCGAACACAGTCCCCCTCACAGTACCCTCAGCTAAATCTCCTCAGCTGAAAGCAAATTAAAAACACTCAGCTCTCTAGCAGCTCTATCTCCTGCTGCTTCTCAGAGCTCAGCTGAACAGATACTGAACAGGTGGGTCCCTGCCTCCTATAATCTCCCCTTGGTTGCCAGCTAATTTCCTCTCAGGCAGGCTTCCAGCCTCTGAGGAACTTAAATGCATGCTTTATTTGTGTATCATTAGCTATTTCAAAACCCTCCTTTCCAATCAAACTATCTTAAAATAGGCTTATATTTTAATTTGCAAGACTCCATGTTCCTTTTAAACATTCTTTCCTTTAGATTTCTCTTTGGTATTGTAGCCTCTTTGCCTCTGCTGATGAACCACACTAGCATCCTTTTGGACTTCTTCGTGACTTTTCTCACCTGATTTATTGTACCCTCTATTAACTGGACCCAAGCTTCTGGAAAGGGGTTGGCCAGCGTTGTGTAGAGGTTAAGAGCAGCCGACTCTAATCTGGAGAACCGGGTTTGATTCCCCTCTCCTCTTCCACATGGGGCCTGCTGGGTGACCTTGGGCCAGTCCCAGTTCTCTCAAGACTCTCTCAGCCCTACTTGCCTCACAAGGTACCTGTTGTGGGGAGAGGAAGGGAGGGCGATTGTAAGCTGCTCTGAGACACATGAGGCCTGCTGGGTGACCTTGGGCCAGTCCCAGTTCTCTCAGAACTCTCTCGGCCCCACCTGCCTCACAAGGTGCCTGTTGTGGGGAGAGGAAGGGAGGGCGATTGTAAGCTGCTCTGAGACACATGAGGCCTGCTGGGTGACCTCCAGTCCCAGT